TATTAAATTAGTCACCTACATCAATAGCAAAACAGTCACTACATGACTACTCGTTCAATTGTTTTAGCCAATCAGAAGTTGCAGGATTGGCTTTCCTAGCGTCAAAAGTATCTAAATGTGCATCAGAAATATTCCCACATTCTTTAATCTTTTCTACCAGGCTTCGAAGAGCGTAATATCCTGGAAACTGGCTATGGTATTTTGACATGGCTTTAGGGAATACACCTTGTTTTGTTAAGACTGAGAATGCCCTTGTGTTTGATACGTAGGCCAGGCTGGTCCTCTGCAGTTTTTGGCCCCCACCCTTTATGTGTGTTTAACATGCAAAGGTTACCTAATTGAGAAGATTGCTAGCATTCCTCCAAGTTCTGCAACCAAACCAAATTTGCAAAGGGATCCTAAAATTTTATTGTTTCTTTTGTAAACAGATTAAACTGGATTAGTGGTTAGCATTTTATATATTTTACTCTGTTCGCCCGTTTAGTCCTGAAAATCTTGAATTGTGTTGCATGTTGCAAATTGCACAGCCGCACTTCACTTGTGTTTGTTACTGATGGCCAGAAACCTTCATTTGCTGTTTGCCTTAGCAGGGAGAAGTGCAAGTGAACTACAAATCCTCCTTCAAAATTTCTAATAATTTTTCATGAGGTATAATTTTCTGATATAAGTACTTTTTTTTTTTTCCCCCTCAAAAGCGTACTACAATAGAGATGGGTAAGGTTATGTATGTGTGTAGTCATTGCTTTTCCTTCAGCAGGCTAGCACTCATACAGAACAGTACACAGTTCCCCTCAGTTCTCTTGGTTTGAACTAAATATTAAATAAATGTCAGTAGAGTATTGTGCAAATCTGTAAACACTATTTCCTTTCATTATTATGTGCAAGATGGGCAGTACAGAATATTTCTATTTTAAGGTAGTCCTAAGGAATGTTTACTTACCTTTCACAGAAGGTCAAATTTAGCTGGTTCATGCAGCTGAGCCCTGAGGTGATCAGGGCGGGGGGGGGAGGGGGGGGACGGACAATTCTTTCTTGGGGATTAGTAGAAACTGTTCCATGAGCTTAGTGTCCCCTTCCTGGAGAGCAGGGGGCAGCAATACCTTGATAGAAGACTCACTACCCTGCCTTTTTCTGCTTCCAAAAACCTTCCCTCAAATTGATGGAGCTGGGATTCCATCTTACGTGCTGCCAGTTTGCTGCTTTAATTTTTTAGTTTTCTTCCCATGAATGTAAGGGACAGAATTCCCACCTAGTCACAGCAGTAAGACCTGTTTTTATAAAACAGCTGTATTTTCTTGACTCTACTGAACAACCATAACACTACCTTCATGTAGCCTCCCACACTGGCCGTTGTGTCCCGTTCCTCTTCTGTTCTCCGCATTTGCAAGGAATAGAAACTTTACAGTCTTTGTAGAAATGGCTGAAAGCATGAGCAGGAGATCCACATCAAAAGTTCCAAGTGAGATACTTGAATTGTAGTCATCTTTGTATGCAAAATTTATCTGTTTGTGTGAAGACCAGCTAAGCATAAAGGGAAAAAAGAAAAACCCTCAGGAATTAGTCCTGTATGTGGCTGTGCAAAGGCATAAATTAAACCCTATTTCCATACTTCATACAACTGTTTTTAAGTTTCAGCAAGTTCCCCTGCTCCCTGCTGTTAATGGCCCCCGCATGGTTCAAGTCTTTCCTTCTTTCAAAAAAATCGTAGTGCTTGCTATGTTTGCTCTTTCCAGTGAGAGGAGTTTAACTGAACAGCTTAAATTGTGTAAGTAAATTTCAGACATCTTCCCAGAACATCACTGCTATTTTTCTTTAGGACTTTAAGAGAGCATATTGTTTGTCAACAGTGCTGGAAGGGTGGTGGTTGTATGTCTGGATACTGTCACTACCAACTGGTGCAGGCATAATGGATTTTCTGAGAACAGTTGAATGTGAAAAAAACTTCATATTATGAGAAGAGACATCTGAAAACAAATGTTAGATGGTTTTGGTCTGTATTGTCATCTTGATTTCCTTAGTTACTTGAAACTGGGCTAAAGATGTTTGAAAAAGACTTACCTGCAATCAGTTCAACAATAAAACTGGTTAGGGAGGTTGTATGTTCTCGCCTGTCTGTGTGGTCTTCTGGTTTTCCCAGAGGCTCTCTAGATTAGGCGCTTGCCACAATTCTGGAATAGCCTGCCAGGCTTTGCTGTTCCTGGCAGAGACATTTTTAAAGAGGCCATGTTTCCAAATTTAGAACTATTGCTCAGTAATCCCCTACAGGTCCTTCTTTGAAAATGGATGGAACTTGTGATTGCTATTACTGTTATTTCTGAGCTGCACCGTTTGTAAAGTTAGACCAATAACATAAGGAAAAATTAAAGCATTCTAAAATAAAAAATTCTAGGACATGTAGAATAAGTCATAAAACATGAGATCACTAGAGACCGAGGAACAATTAGGTTATGTGTTGACTTCTGATTTACCTGCCTGTGGAAGCACTTTGTTCATACAAGTATCAAAATGCATATAAACCCAGCATTTACTTTATGGGTTGGTGCTGTTAATTTCCCCGAGTCCACATTTGGAAGTCTCAGAAATGTAAGATGATTTTTAGTTTCAGTGTGCGATACAACTGTATTTATTCTTGACAGTGTTTTTACTCAGAAGTTAAATTTCAGCTCCTAATTCTGAATTAAACTAAGTCTAAGTAATTTTTTTTTTTTGTCTGTGCATTCAGTGCAGATGTAAATAGTCAGTATTTTAAATAGCTTTAGCAGGTGGCTCTGCTTGGAAGCTTTTGGGCCTTTTTAATTAGAGAAGCTCATCCCCGTGCAAATAAGGTTGTCATGTGCAAATATCATATAGTTATGTAATGTGGCTTCATTGCTGAAGGATTAGTTGCATGATAAATTTCCCAGGGTAACCTGATGGCTTACTTTACTATAACAGCAGGCTTTATCTGAGACCTGTGTACTGTTTTCATGCTTAAAGAACTGTAACTCAGGACAGGTGGGAATGTAAAACTGTTTTGATAGAATCTTTTGTGCTTGGACAGCTGTAATCCTTGGAGGGGTTGTGTGGTGAGAAGTTTTATCTCGAAAGCTGGTTTTGAAAGCTGTGTTGGTAATGAAACCACAAGTTCCATCAAACTGGATCACTGAAGTTTTTAGTTTCGAGTTTGTAATATGAGAATTTTGTTTGTTAGTAAAGGGCATGCTCTTAAACAATGTTGCAAGTGACTGGAAAGAATAACTTAAATCTAAATGTTTTAGGTAAGAATGCACATACAGAAAGCAAACTTCTTTAAATGTAATTTCTCAAGTTTCTTGAACCTGCTGGAAGCAAAAAATCACCTGATTTTCCTTCCCTCCCCACTTAATTTTCTGGTCCACATCCCACCGTCACCTCCCCCTTTCCTTCCCCTCCACCCCACCTCAAAAATCTGTTTCCTTTCACATACTTACTCATCTCTCTGCAACCACTACATGTCTTAGAAAATTGTCCTATAGTATAGATTGATCATAACTGGCCAGCACAATCTGAAATTAGTTTACATACTGATTAATAATACTGAACCAGGTCTATGGGCTGCCTTGCAAGGGTACGTGCAAAGAAGGGGATGATTGTGAGCTTAAGGTATAAGATTTCAGGTTTTTTGGAAGGCACTTCTCAACAAGGTGGTGACTTTTTACAAGTTAGGCAATTGGTTTGAATGCCAAACATCCTTTACATGTATTTCTCTTGGAGAATAAAAATACCTGGTGTACTGTTCTAATGGAGCCTACATGGCATTGCTTAATGAGTGAAAAAACAGTGAGCAACCACCCAACAAGCTGATGTGTTTGTCTTCAGATGTATAACGCTGTGCAGCAGTACAAATAGCAGTGGCTGTATGTACTACTTTTAACTTTCACTTCAGACTAAAAGAAATAGTTCAGTTATGTGTAATTGTCTTGAGAGCAATGCACTTACAAGGAACTTTAGTGACTACTGTGTTGAACAGAGAAATGCATAATACATTACTTAAAAGGCAATACACTTTTGTATTCCTTCTATATTTTGAAGAGTGAATTGCAAAAAGGAATACATTAACTACAAAAAAAAGGGTGCCTCATCTACTGTTTCCATGTAATACAATAATGCAATGCTATAAGCAGACTTTTTTATCTGTCTTTAGAAGGGACAGCAAGGTATTTTTTTCCCATCACTCCTTTTTCCTACTGAATAACTTCACCTCTCCATGCACATTTAAGGGAATAATCTCCTCACCTGAGTCATTGCAAATAGCTGTTTTCAGTCATGGGACCTTGACAGATGAATATTTTTATTTTTATTTTTTTTTCATTGCCATCCTTTTTGTATATTCTGTACTTACCGTGTTCTGAGTTACTACATTCTGAACGCTGATTGACTTTTAGCTACCTCGGTTTAATAATATATGGAAAGCTAAGTAGTGGTTTTTTTGTGTGGAGAAGTGATTAAATCCATGGCAAGTGAACATTAAATACTTTTTTTTACTTTTATGCCACACACTGCTTATATAACCAGCTGAATGCTTTGGAGTTTATCATGTCCCTCCCCATCTGACCTAAATTAAAACTGATCTCTGAAATTTTAGAGACTGTTTCCTAGCCTTTTGTCTGCACCTGAGAACAGTTTTGCTTGTTTCATTTATATTGGTTACATTTGAATCTTATGTATTACATACTTACTTAGTTTATACATCTCCTTTACGCTTTCTCGGGACCGGTTCTCTTCTTTACAAGAAATGCTTCTAGTATCTATCCAAAGAGTAGCAGTATCACAATACTGTTATTTATAGTAAATCATTATCATTAAAAACTGAGAAATCCTGAGAAGAAAATTGTGTGAAAACAGTTAAAATGTAATATTGATGTATTGATGAGGAGAAAACCCAAACCAGGAATTGAGTTCCTGTAGGTTTTAATATAATAAATTACCTTTGCTTTTATCATTTTTTACAATAAGTTGACATTTCTTCTTCAACTTTTCAGGCACAGGTACCTTTGGGCGTGTTCATCTAGTGAAGGAAAAAATGGCCAAACGTTACTTTGCACTGAAAGTAATGAGCATTCCTGATGTCATTCGACTGAAGCAAGAGCAACATGTGCACAATGAAAAGTCAGTCTTGAAAGAAGTCAATCACCCTTTTTTGATCAGATTGTAAGTTGTTTTATTTTTTTTTAAATTCATCTGACTTAGTAGAAAGTGCATATAAAGTGTTCTAGAGCTTCATTGCAAGTTCTTATGTACTTAAACACCACCAACCATTTAATTTCTATTATGTAATCTAGACTTAAGTAGACTTCAGACTAAAATATCTATTACAGAAGAATCAAGAATTTAAAATTCGGAGGCATAATTTAAACATTTAAGCAATGATTTATTATAAGCTTTATTCTGTCTTGTTTTCATACTGCAGAAGAGATTTTCTTAAGGGGAAAATACTAATGAAGAAATGTTAGGATTAGCTCATCAAAATGACTTCTAGAATGATTCTTGATGTTAGAATGGTGAGAAAAGAAGTATTTCTACATATATATGTCCTAGATAAAGTTATAGTTAGATGTAAGTATCTGCTTTTTTGAAAACTTGTACAAACTTTAATTTTGCGAACTTTGTTTTTAGAGTTTAAGTGACTGCATCACGTTTTGGGCTTTATGATTCCCATATTTGAGGTTAAGTGGTAGAATCTGTTGAGAAACATGATTTAAATGCTTTTCATGAAGAACACTTCTTTTAGTGGAATTATGGTGATTGAGATGATCCCAATGATTTTTTTATTAAGGACAGAAGGCAACAGACTTTTACTGTTCGCAGCACCACAACAACAATATGAGTCCGTATCTATTAATGGGATTGATAAACCTCTGGGTAATTGCACAGTTAATTTCCATTTATATTTTCTCATGCATGGATACAGAGCCATTGACTAAAATTTGTTCTGCGTTTGCCTGCTTTAATCAGCTTTACATGAAATTAAACAAAATTAGCCTTAGTTAATCTCTAGCTGCAGGGAGTGCAACTTCTTCCCAGGGCTAAGAAACTATGAGAAGAAAAAGGAAGAGGCAAAAAAGCATGGTAGTCATCTGAAAGATGGAAAGAGACCTGCAGAAGGAGGCTTCTTTATTGGTGTGCTATTGCTTTTTCCGGCATCATGTTAGTTTCCAGCCAGTGTCCTGTGTGGCACAGTATCAGTAAGATGAGTTGTAGGGTATGTGGAATTTCATATGCATGCAGGAAGGTAAGATGGAGGGGCCAAGTACATCTGGTTAGACTGGTTAAGAGATGGATGGAACAGGGGGAACAGGGTTTTATATGTATATCTACGTATATCATGTATGATACATATGTCATACATAAATTCTTTAAAAGAAGAAAAAAAAAACCCTAACAAAACAAAAAAAAGCCAAACCAACAAACAAGCAAAACCCTCAACCCAGTACATCTGTGCATCTGGAACAGTGCAGCAAGTGTGGAAACAGAGAAACAAGTGAGAATAGAGACATGGATGTTGAGGGTTCATGTCCATACGGAAGTGACCAAAACTCCAAACTGATATGTTTTCTTGGATTTCATTCATGCCTTATTTCCACAATGTCAGGTTTTAAAAATAACCAAAGAACACAATCTGAATAGGAGCTCGCTTGTGAGCAAAGGCAAGCATTCTTCATGTCTTCTAGCTCTTGGCATTTTCTGTTGATGTGTTCAATGCAATTCTGCCTCACCTATGCTCATGTAATTGTCTATGTAATGCTTTTGTCCCTTGGCAGAGGAGACTTAAAGCAACCTAGCTGTAACAATTTAGTTAAAATACAAGTCATGTTAATATTTACATGCTTTAGGTTAAACAGGCATTCATGGCCAATTATCACTGACTGTATGACAAATAAAACTTTCTGTGGCTTTTTGTGTGGCTAACAGTTTTTTTGAGTCACCTCCTCCCCGCCCTAATAGATGGGATTTTTCCATGAATTGTTTCACTATAATTGATTAACATAAAGGGGAAAAAATTCCTATATAGTTCTGCTTCGATGCCTTTTAACTGTGTTATCTCCGAAGTCTCGTTTTTCCATTTTCAATTAGCATCACCATCTTAAACATGGATGGTATCTTTCTCTGGTTGCAAAACAATGAGTATGTGTCAGTGCATCATAATACTGTATTTTTTTAGCACTTTATGATAGAGAATTTTAAAGTAATACTGCACATAATTTATTTCTGGTGTTCATCTTCCCTATAACTTCCTACATGTAAAGACTCATATAAAAGATTTTTTTTTTCCTTTTCTTGTTACTTTTGAGAAATGCTTTTTGTGCATATAAGGAGGTCCTGGGTTTTGTAAGATACCGAAGTTATTTATTTATTTTTTTTAAACTGGTTTTTGGAAATGCTTGCTTTGTGCTTCTGCAGTAACTGATCACTGGAGACTCCCAAACACAATTTTGCTGACACATTTGAGTGATGTATCATACCTCTATGGGTGCAGCAGATCATATTGTGCTGTAATTTTAATCTCTTTGATTTTTTTTTTTCCCCAAGAGAACAAGAATTAATAAAATCAACTATGTCTTACAGTCCTGTAAACTAAAATAGATTATTTGTCTGTAAGAGTTTACGGTGGCATCTAAAGTTCATGTAGAGAAGCTGAACCGTAATGTTACATAGCACTGTTATTCTAATCACAGCTTCTGTGATATTTTTGGGTTTTGTATTCAGATACCACTTAAAGCAATCCATATTGCAAATACTGAATTTTTATTATGCTGTTATTTGGTTTTGCTATTTTTTATGTATGCCAAATAATGCATTAATTTTTCTGCAGATAGACAAATGTGTAAACGTCAGTTCTTCAGGAAATTAATTGCAGTAAAACTATTGCCTTTAAAGGTCTTGGTTGTCCACTTTTTCCCTCTCTATTCTTTGCCAGATTTTCGCCTTTCTCTCCCCTGTACATGGTGGTTTTGTTTTTTGGGTTTTTTGGTTTGGTTTGGGCTTCTTTTAGTTGGTTGGTGGCATGTTGTGTTTGGTTTGGTTTGTTTTAATATGTGGTTTGCTTTGTTTTGCCCATTCTGGTTCCTCTTTCTTTGTTTCTTGTAAGTGCAACTTTGTATTAGTACTTAGAATATATTTCAAGAGTGGGGTTTTTGCGTAGTCAATAAAGATACTATGAACATCATCAATAGCCAGTTGATGATGTTGATGACTATGATAGGGAAGTGGTGTCATAAAAGCAGTGTTCTGCATTCTTCAACAGTTTGAAGGAATGGAGGAGCTGTTGCTGATGTCTGGTTGTCTCATTTTCTTGGTTGCTTTAGTGCTGCTATCAAGAAGGAAAATCTTACTGAACAAAAGTCACTCATGGGTTTTGGAGTTCAGTTTGCTCTGCTTATTTTTCTTGAGACTCTGTACCTTGATTAGGAACCAGCTAATGAAGGAAAAAAAAAATCCAAACAAAAAGATACTTGATCTTTCCATTCTTATGATGCTGCAGAAATGGTTACTAGAAGCTAAAATAACTTCTAGTCTTATATCAATAAACTAGATAGGAATACACTGTTCTTTATCTGTTAACATAGTAATAGGGATACCTATTTGTTTTAAAATGGTAGAATATTCTTCCAAGGTGTTACTGGATACTTATTTTCTTCTTAAGTGTTGAGTTATATTTGGGTGTGGGTTGTATGAGTTGTTCATTGTGGGTAGAAAGTAAAACAGCTTAGTTTCAGGGAATGTAGGAAAGAAGATTCCTGTATTCTGTAATGAAGCATTTGAAAGCCACATGGAATAATTTTCCGTCTTCCTTAGCTGCTCTTTAATGCACTGTAGGAATGAGTACCACAATAATAGTTCTTAAATTAAAGGCAATAGTCTGAGTAACCGAAGATACTTATTATTAGGTTAATTCTGAAGTATAGAAAGGAATCTTGTTTTGTGATAATTTTTGCTTTTCTACTGCTTTTTTTAAAGATACTGCAGAAGACCAGGCATTGCAATTTGATAGTTTAGTTGGGGTTGTGTATTTCCAGGGAGAAGGGGATAGGAGAGGGGAAGGAGAACTCTCTGGTGTCCTGTTTTTGAACATACTGTCATAAACATCTTTACAAAAGCTCTGCTTACGCACCATCTCTTTGGCAATATGTAATTAAATAAAAGGTAAGGTGTGTAAGAATTGTCTGTTCCTAGCAGACTGGCAGTGTACCAAGTCAGTTACTAGGTGCTTAGCAGACTTGTTCTGTACAATGCAACGAAGTCTATCAGTTAGATTTTTTTTTTCTTGGCCTGTGCTGTGCATCCTGAACTATCTGCTTTATTTTTCAGGTTAAGTCAGCTACTTGAATGTCTGTTACGTAGATTCTTGGGATTTTAATATTTGTGGTATAGGAAGCATAAATTGATTACGTACATAGTTGAGGCAGAGATAATTTTACAGAAATATATTTCTAAAGCAAATTGGAGAGATAATTTGTTTATTCAATAAAATAATGTTTTTATTACAGATTTTGGACCAACCACGATGAACGTTTTCTATATATGTTAATGGAATATGTGCCAGGAGGAGAACTTTTTAGTTACCTGCGCAACATGGGGCGTTTCAACAACAGCACAGGACTGTTTTATTCTGCGGAAATTATTTGTGCAATAGAATACCTGCACTCCAAAGAAATAGTTTACAGAGACTTAAAACCTGAAAATATATTACTAGACAAAGAAGGACATATCAAGCTTACTGATTTTGGATTTGCTAAAAAATTGGTGGATAGGTAAGTAGGTTTTTGTTACGATAATTACGTTTTGCACATTAAACAGAAGAAAAAAGCTTGATTTCAGAGCATTTCACCTAATAGTCCATGCGGTTCACACATCTCAAATACCTTAATACGAAGGAAATTATCATCCTGAAATGGCTACAAGGAAACCAGTATTACACCCTAGGTATAACTAGGAGGAAGATCACAGATAAGATACTGTAGAAAAATATATCAGTAGTTTTGTATATTTAAGTTTTCAATTGTCGCCTTGTGAAAGAGGACTTCAGTGAAGTAATACTAGAAAATACTGAGATCTGTACATCAGTATATGAAATGGGATATTAATCTTCCATACACATTGAATTGGTGTTTTGTAATTTGTGTTTTCTTCTGCTTTCTGCTTTCAGAGAGTTTTTTTCCTAAAAGTGGGAATAACATTTGAAAACTGGATATTGTCTTTTTACTAGCCTGTTGCTAAAACGAAACTGCAAAATCTAGACAGAAGCAGTAAGGCCAACTTAGCAGAAGTGATTTATTTCGCTGTAACTTCTGTCATGCTGTCAGCCTTATGTCCATATCACTACTGTATGCAAACTTTTTTGGTAGCCCAAAGGACTTTTTTTTCTCCAATGATTTCTTTGTTCTCTCCATTTGAATTACTCTTCCAAGAATATAATACATGTTCTTAAAAGGAAGCAAGAACTGTCACTGGGATTAAAAAAAAAAAGGGAGGGGGGGAGTGGGAGGACAAACTGGCCTGTCATATTAGAAAAGTGGTGTGACAAGTTTTGGTATTATGCCCTTGGGCCATCCCCTGAAGGAGGCCATATCTGATTGTTCTAGCTGAGGCAGCCTAAGTAAGCGAGTTAGGCATTACATAGGTGCTCATCCTCTTCTCTATCTGTTTACCTGTTTTAATGCTGCTTTTGCAACAGCTCAGTGTCCGTATGAAATTCTGCAAGATCAGTTTGAAATGAAGGTGAATGTGAGGGATCAAATCATGTTATGGAGGTCATAAAAGTTGCTTCCTTATGGGTTACATTCTTACAGTGCTGGGTTGCCATGGCACAGGAGAATGGTAGGCAACTAATAGGTACACTGGTTCTATGCACCTTTAAGTTCTCAAAGTCTGTTTTAAAACCATAATGTTTTAATATCAACATGTTTGATTGAATTCAGTTTCCACTGGTCAAGCAGATAGGTCTAAAAATATGAGGTTCTTTTCTTTTTTTTCTTTTTTTACTATTTTTTTTTTTTAAATGAAAAGTACTTTTTGCAGGAAGAGGTAAGGCTACTTCCATGTAAGAAAGTAGGATGATCTGCTTATAAGGTATTTTCATACAAATTCTTACCGCTTCCTTTATACATGTAGATACTGCCACTTAGTGGTTATTCCTAATTTGGATTTCTGTGGGTTTAAGGCACAGCAGAAGTAACCCTTCATTAAATAAGGTGATAGTTCAGTTCAGAGTATATTTTTCAATCCAGGAGATGAATCTATTAAAGTAAATTTGTTCAAATACATTTTAGGACATCAAAAAAAAAAGTTATCCCTACTTTTTTTAATTGGGAGGGTTGTTTGTGTGTCTTACATTTCTTGGAGGTTGAGCAGTGAAGTTGAGCAGCTTGGTTTGAATTGAATCATGGAACACTCAAATAGTCTTGCATTTGTAGCTAATTTACCTGTAACTGTACAACAAGTAATGCAAATAGAGAACATAAAGTTGAAAGGAGCAAGGACTTTATCAGTTAGAGCACAAGCAGTTACCTATGCAAGTCTGGTTTGTGGGGGATTTTTTTCTGTTGGGGTTTGGGTTTTCTTGGTTTTTGGTCTGTGGTGGTGTGGGTTTTTTATTTTTTTATTTTTTTTTTTATAACTACATAGTATTCTCCACCCTAGCTATAGTCATTTTCGTAACACTTTTTATTCACCTGTAAAGATACACAGTTGTCAGCAATTTACCCACTTATGCACTCTGGTAGCTTATTTTTTTTCATAGACTATTTGATCAAAAGTATGAAGAGATGTTTTGTCATCTTTATGCGTGGCAAGTGTCTGTACATGTGAACCTTATATGCATGTATGTGAATATGTGTGTATCTGTATGTATATATATAGTGTAATATGAAAATCAAACACAAAGTTTGTATGTTTTTCAAACAGCTAGGAGGAAGCCTGCCACTTAGGACCAACAGAAGTATTCCTAGAGTAGGGAAGACAACATGATATTGAAAATAAAACATGGTCTGCAGAAGACCTTCAATACAACTACAGTCTTGGTACAGAATACTTCCCATGAATGATTCTGTAGTTGCTTAATAGAGATTTTTCTTTCTTCCCATTACAGTGTGTGAAAGGGTGTTCATCATATTTATCTACACTTAAGTGACTCTTCAGAGAGAGTGGCTGGCTCATAGCTTGTGTTCCAACTGTGTGAATCAGCCCACACGTTTATCTGTTTAGTACATTTTCCGAAGGGCTAGAATCTAATTTTTTCCCTAGCAAAAGAGGAAAAACAGGAGGTTTTCTTGTCTCCTTTTGTTTCTTGTTGATACGTCCTTCTGTTTATCCTTGTTCCTCCCTTTTCAGTCATAGTGTACTCTTTTTTTCCTCCAAAACAGTGTCTTTGCTTCAGCTGCTGTTTATTTCTTCTCTTTTCCATCTTGATGTTGCTTAACTGAAGATGTTACAACCTTTTAGTTTCTTGTAATTACATTCACATAAAACAGATCTGTCGCCACTTTAAAAGAAGGGCAGTCAAGAAAAAAAGATGGGGAGGAGGATGTTTGTAAGTGATTGTTACCTGAAGGATGTAGAAAGAATTTGCTTTGAACTTTATAGCCAATACATTTTTAAAGCCTTCTTGTTCTGGAAAGTGCATAAATTTATCCATGATGGTTATGTGGTGTATCCATTAAACATGTTTCTGATCTTTCTTACTTGTGGCTTTTTTAAATTTGGTTTTGTTTGTTTGGGGCTTTTTGTTTGTTTGTTTTAATTCCTGCATTCTTTCAGAGACGTATAAAACGAAAGTTCATAGAATTTTATGGGTTTTATGCATAGATTTCACTGAGAATGTTATGAAAGTTTTAGGTAAAGTTAGGCCTTCAATTATTTTTGTTTCTTTTTTGAGGAGTGTTTTTCACTGTTAATTTGAGTTTGTTCAGTTTAAATTCATATAAAGACCTCGGTTGTTAAACTGTGAAAGTCTTCCTAGAAACTTGAGAAGTGATTAACCTTAAAGATGTTGAGGATACTTTTGTGCTGTTACTGAAGATGGATGTGCCTCATGACTGTTCTGCAGAGTGGATTGAAGAAAACAAAACAAAAAACAAAACAAGACACAGCAAGTCTTGTATCCAAAGTGTATTGTTTGTCACTGTTTGCAGGCTGGAAACAAAGCAATCTCCACTGAGTATAATTATGGAGAAACTTCCAGACAAGAAAGCCAAAAAGTATGTTGTTGTTAATCTCCAACATGTATGCAAGAAGCCTGTCAGGGACTGCAGAGGTGGAAACTGAATGGTGTAGAATGCTAAAATACATTAACTATCCAGACTTAACTTCTTCAAATAATACTGTTAATAAGTCCTGCAAATATTATTTTATAGCTTATCTTTGTGACCAGAGTAGATTCTTTGCTTTATTTTCATGTTTTAAAATTAAATGTTCAACCTTATCAACTGTTGCTTACCTGCATTTCAGCTTTTATCTTGAAAACCCAAAGCAGTAGACTTCTTTTTGTAGTAGCTTGAATGCCATGGTTTATTTATATTTTTCTGCTTTATAATTTATCTTCAAAAAGATTATTTGGAATTTCTGATGAATACGCAACAGTCATGAAATAGTAATGATAAAAAAAAAAACAAATGAACCAACAAAGAAACAAAAACCAAAAATCCAAACAAAACCAAAAACCTAAATGAAAACAAACCAGAAAAAAAATCCTACCACAAAACCCAACAAACTTAATTCTGTAAAAAGATGAAATGATCTTACTTGATGCATTTTCCAAATTATTAATTTGTTTCATGACTAACAGAAGAGGAAGTCATGATCTTACAGCACAAATACACAGCTTGACAAAGAATTTGAGTTTCCTCCAAGTTTATGTGTAGTTAGTAAACATAAATTTATTGACTGAAATTAAGAGAAATAGATGACCTACTGGTAGTAGTAAATACTATTTCCTAGTGCAGCTGGGGTCTTCAAGTTATGTCGGCATTTTCTTAACTTGTGTTTTCCTTCTGCTTGAAAGAAAAGATCTTGTTATTAACCTGCATCGTAATCAAGAATCATTGTAGATATATTGTCACCAGCAAATTATGCAGGTCCTGGAAGTCATGGTCAAATATTAGACTGATTGAGTTTTTCTGTATGTAAATGGCCTTGATAAGGGATGAAAACCACCAAAGGCTGCATCTTTGCTGAATTTGGGGTTTCATAGTTTTGGCAATTTTGGGAGGAAAGGATGACCATTGTGGGGCATTGCCCTGTAAACCATCCATTAATATCCTAGCTTGTCCGTTAAAACATGTGTACGTGCTCTGTCCGCTTTATTTGTACACCCTTTCTTCCCAAATACAGTAAAGCTGCCAGCTGCTTTATTTGCAGAGCTGGCTAAATCAGTATCAATAAAAATTAAGACAGTGGACTGTAATACAGCTTTTTAAATTTGGGGATGGGGGGGTATTTTGTTTTAAGACATAACAAAGCAATGCTTCTTTTTCCTAATTACCTAGTCCTTATCTGGACAACTACTAGATGGCAGTAGTGTGTAAAGCAGTGCTATACTTAAGAGTTTTCTTAAGTATGCTTGAAATGGAAAAAGAGTTTCTATTTTCTAGCAATAAAAAATATGCCACCTTTTTATGATGAAAACTGAATATATATTCTTTACACTAATGAATGTAGTTTCAAGAACCATGCATAGTGTTATCCAACGCATTCTGACAGTTTACCTGGAGTAATTTAGCTTTTGCCATGTTACAACCAAGCTTAAAGAAATTCAGCTCTGTGCATCATAAATCTTCATTTAAAGTCTTGACTGACTGTGCAGCTCTTATTTCTTGATGTTAAGAATTTTTATGAATCAAGGCTAAGGTGTGAAAAACCAAACAGACAGAAAGCAATAAAAAAAAAAAAATGTTGACAATCTGAGATTCCGTAAGGTGCATCTTGAATATCCATTTAGGGTTAGGAAACAGACTTGTTAAGTTTAGCAGAACAGTGGGAGGAAAAATTAGAACTTGAAAGGAATATGTATTACTTCTAAAAGTGATTGCTATTCATCTTAATGCATTTTTCTAGGGCCATGTTACCAGTTTGATTGGAGAAGATTTTTCCTACACTCACAGATAAAACAATTAAAGGTTTTTTTGCTGCAAGTTACAAATCATGTGCAGTGACAGTTAATTTTGAGACTATATTCTTTGTCCAGTCTTACTAGAACTCTTCTTAAAATGCAGTGTGCTTTTTTCTTTCTTGTTCTGTGCTGTTGTTTCATCCTCTCTTGAACTGTACTTTTTCAAAGTTTCATCTTCTGACTGCCTACCTAGGGAAGTGTAATTTATTCAGAATGAAAGCACATTTTTTTTCTCTAGTGCATATTTAAACATAAGGTAGTGATGCCAGGCAAATTCTTCACGGGTATTTTTTGCAAAGAAGAGTTCACATTTCTGAAAGAATTGGTTTCAGAATATTCTTTGTTTCAAAATGTAATTTGGTCTTTGTAAACATTAACTGCTTAGTTTCAATTTATTTCATGAATTTATAGAACTTGAAATACACATTTCAGATAGCAATAGAACAGTTTCATATCCTGAGCTTATATTAAGAAGGCTATGTCTAAAAAAATGACTGTAAAATATATCAAAGATAGTATCACATATCTCACACTTGCTTAGCTACACCTTGTAAATATTTACAACAACTGAATATATAAAATATTTTCTTTCTAAAGTGGTAACAGGTAACATTCCAGTACCATTTGGAAAAGGTTGCTTAGATTGTGAAAGGAATCCTGCTTGCGTCTTCAGCCATTTACTGATTTAAACTGCTACTTTTTTTTGTCTCCTCCTCTTGCCTTTATTTTTTTCTAAACAGAAAAGTTTTCTTTTTTCTGGAAAATGCGAATAAGCTTGCCTTCTGGTGGGCCTGTCAGAAGTACTTCATGAACTCCCAGGGTCTGCAGTTCACAGGGTGACAACCACTGTTAGTAATTTCAAAGCAATGTAATAGCCTAATGGATAAAGTAGCATACCAACAGTCAGAAAACAAACAGTACATAGATACTTCCTGCAGCCAGGAATTTTCTTAATTTCCATGTATCTCTGTTACAGGAGAATTGAAGATCCTCATCAAAGCAATCCTTTTTAGATTTTGTAAAGGTCTTAGTTTTTTCTTCTGTATCTATATACGTTAAATACATAGGCATATGTTGGGTTATTCCTATGTATATGTTTGTGTTTTTTTGTATTACTGTTGTTTCAGTTTCACTTCAGTCTGTGTTTGTTTGTTTAATTTTTTTTTTTCATCTTCTTTTCTTCCAAGGACATGGACACTCTGTGGCACTCCAGAGTACCTTGCACCAGAAGTTATACAAAGCAAAGGCCATGGAAGAGCTGTGGATTGGTGGGCCCTAGGAATTCTTGTATTTGAGATGCTGTCAGGGTAAGTGATAATGATTACTATATCACAGCAATATTATGTAATAAAATAATACAGGATTCTTCACTAGTTCTTTTTATGATATTCAGAATAGCAAATTCAGGCTAAATTTATTCTTGAATGAAGAGTTTCATCTCAGCCTCTGAAGAAAGGAATTGGGAAGGTGTACAAAAGAACATATATCACTATTGTTCTGGGGGTTTTTTTAGGGTTTTTTTTGGATTTGGTATGATGGTTAGTTTTGCTTTTTTTTTTTTGTTTGTTGGTATGTTTGTTTTGTTTTTTAATGTAACATTTTTTTTAACAGCCACTCTTTTCCTTATCTGTTTTGGAAATCCAGGTTTTGTTGAAGTTTAGATTTTTATGTATAAAATCCTTTATATTTAAAGGGTGAAGAAGAGGACTACCAGTTTTCTTAGAAGCTTCTGTAATTAGTTTCTAGCATAGTGAAATCATATTTTCAGTGAGAGCTTTAGTCTTCCCAAATGTGAGCACTGGTTTTGTTTAAATCAAAAAAAAAAAAAAAAAAAGGAACAGGGAAAAGCTTAAAATATCTATTTGGAAGTCAGTTTGCTCAAACTCTACTTTAGATATTTTGGAATTCGCTTGATAAGCAGTGTTTCTGAAAGGTACAAATTCAAACTGCAGAGAGACTTTGTGACATTAATATAATTCACTGCTTTTGACTTTAAGTATTAGGTAGATAAAATTAACTGTCAAGTTGCTCTGATTTCAAAAAAGAAATACTATTTTCGATACTATTTAAATAACCGGTTTAGGTAGAGAGAACATGAAATTTTGCTTGTGTGCTGAACAAGGCATCTGCATGTTTTTCTTTTTTGTCTTGGTTATATCATTTGAAGGTACTTAAAAAGCGTAGGAATTTTGAAATAAATCTGTTTTGCCATGGTCGATGCAGTAGAATAAATGCAGGTGAAAGCAAGTTTTTTACGTCTTTGAAAGTAACACGGTATCAGTATCATCAATATCAGTAACATCAGTTTTGGTTTCGTAGTTGTTAGAATGTCTTTTTGGTACCAGGCCCCTGTACTTTCTTGCTCCCTCAGCGTGTGTCCGTTTGCCTCTGTGGCTTTTCATTCTGGATCTGCAGCCCTATAGAGTGGTTGGAATAAAAATGTCTTTGCATGGATTTATTCTTTCTTTCTTTATCCCAAGACAGCATTGCTGCCCACTGTTTGTTTTCGTAATATCCCGAAGGCTTGCATATGCATTGACTTTGAATATCAAGACAATTTCTAGGCAGAAAAGGCATAAAAATGTACTGATAGTTCCCTACTGACCCAGGCAGGCTTGGCTCCCTTGTCTAACAAAAAGTCATTATTTATGTAGGCTGATCTGTGCAGAAGCCAGGCTTCACGTTTCTGCCACCAGTCTGTCTAAGGGTGAGTGGCCCAAGCTGGTCAAGGGGCTCCTTCTCAGAGGGATGAAAGGAACAAGAGATTGGCAGCAACCTTGTTGCCACTAATCTTAATCTCAGACAGCATGAAGACTGTAGGTAAAAGTGTCTGGTGCTGTAACGTGACTGCAGGTGCTGCAGTCTCCCAGCTGTAGTCTGAGTGATTTACCTTCCTGCCACAGGTTTCAGTGGGACCACTGTCTGTTTTGTCTGTGTAGTGTTAGTGTAAGTGGGTATTGGGCATTTTTCCTTTCTGCACTTTACAGAGCTGTTGATGGGATTCTCCCTACTAAAGCAGTAATAGAAACATGGCTTCCAAAGTTAACATACTGACTACAGGTGTTAGTCAAGTCATTTCATCTCTGGAGTCAGTGAGACCTCAAGACTGCAGGGTGCTGAAGTATGGCTGCTATATATATTCTACTGAAATATGACCAGTATATATTCTTCATTAAAAAAGGGAGCAGCTGCAATCATTTCTGTGTAGAATCTTTTGTGTCCTGACACTGTCTGGCTCAAGGGATAAGATCTGCATTCCCCCCAGCTTAACATAAACACTTTGGCTATAGAGACTCTTAATAAATAGAAATAAATTATGCATTTCTAAAAGGCAGCTGAATTCTTATATGGACTGATTGGCAGAGCAGCTGTGTGCTGCAAGCAATTTAGTAATGTTTTTTGCTACAGTATTAGTGCAGACATGTTCTTTATAATGATTGGATGCTTCTATTTACTTTCTAGTGCTCAGGTGGAGTCCTTATCCAAAGCTGGGACAGGGACTCCATCCAAGTTTGTTCGGGCTTTTTGGTTTGGTGTGGGGTTTTTTTGGGTTATTTTTCTTTTTGTTTGTTTTTTGGGGGGTATTTCTGCCTTTTTTTGTGTGTGTGTGTTTGTTGTGTGCCTTTTTTTCTTTTCTCTTTTTTTTTCTTTTTTTTTTTTTTTTTTTTTTTTAGGTAGGGGGTGGACATTGATACCACTTCTTAGGAGTTTCAAGATTCTGGAGTTCAGGAGGTTGAGGAGGGGGATTATGGTTTATGCATGGTTTCTTTAGGAGGGCAGGCTGTCACATCGGGCATATGCTTTTAGTATTTTACCAGCTTTCTGCTGTTGTTGCAGAGTTTTATGACTCTTCCTCACCAACTCAAGATGTGGCTTGATACTTACTGTCAGGACTTCTAATGCAAAACCAGTCCTTGGTAACTTAATCCCTTGAAATGCAAAGAAGTTTTGAAAATTAGTTGGAGGTGAACAAAACCTGACTTCAAGACTAAGTTGTTATCTGCAAGTAAATTACTGAAGACATTTGGTAGCTATTTCCTGAAGTTACTCTCTCTGAACCCCAAAAGCAATTGAAAATAATTGGTAGATGTGTGTGTAAGGAAATGGTCTCTCTAAAGACAAACAAACAAAAACCACACTTTCCTGTTCTGCAGTGTCTTATCTCTAGAGGCCCATGGAATTCTAAATCTGCACACCCTAGATTTAAGGCAAGGTCTGTTTAGGTTTAAGATAGTAAAATAAAGGAAGAGTGAAGAACAGAGAGAACCAGGGGTGAGAAGAAATCTTTACAGAGCAGATGAGTAATACTGAGTTCATAGAGTTAATCTAAACAAGTTAAACAAACTGTCAATAGAAAGAATTGAATGATCTTTTTGAGTAAATGTGTTCTGTTACAATCTATCATAGAGGAAATGTACTTGTTATTTAACATTAGATATGTTAGGTCATAATTGTACTGTCATCAAATGCGTAGCTAACTGAATTTTCTCATTTGATGAGGCTTTGTGTTTTTCATTTTCATCATATACCATGTGCTGGTCTATCGTTTTAGGTAGCTAATAGTTCCTGTCTACAGTTTTGTATTTTCTGACCTGTGTGTTTTCCCTTGAGGTTTTACAACTTCCCATCTTCAGTGCTAAAACTATCTGTTACCTTGGAGACCAATGTCAGTCCCACTGTTATGCATTAGTTAGCAAAAGGAATGGTTTGCAGCTGTTGTCCCATATGCAGAGATTTTTTTTTTTTTTTCTGCTTTTCTGTTGGTGGCAAAAAGGCAGCTGTTTCTATTTGTGTTACGGTGTGAAGATAATCTGAAACTCAAGGGGTTTTTTGTTGGTTTATTAGGTAGCTTCCAGCACAATACTTGTCTTGTTTTGTCTAAAATCTGTGCTGTGTTAAACATAGATGTAGTGTCAAAGTCGTTTTGTCCATAAGAAAACTAAGTAATCTTTCAAAGCTGTTCTCATTTTGCATACAGTTCAAATGCACTTTAAGCAGTTCTGCCATTAAATTAATATAGAGCCAAATGTAATTTAAATTTCTTACAAGAATTCTAGGCATAGTAATTTCAGTTTTTCAAAGTGGCACAGCAAAGAGCAATTTAACCACAGGTAAATATGTAAAAACTTATACATAATACTTGATTTTTACATCTCAGTAGTGTACAGAACATAGTATGCAAAATAGACATGCACACAGGCAGCTTTTCTTAACTATACTGATGGAGATATGAAAATATTTTAAACATTGGATTGTAATAGTGGTTGGAAGTTATTAATGTGTATGGTTGATACTCAAAACACCTTTTTTCTATAGGGGTTTTGAGACAGAAGCATAGTAAAAGGGATGGTTTGGTCATGTTATGGAAGTCAAAGTGGGACTGAGATTAGTGAATGGGTTATTTCATTCCCCTAACAGGTTTCCCGTGGTAACTTCTAAAAAAGGTGATTGCCACTCTGAAAAACTGTTGGCACTTGGGCTAAGCTGCTTATACCAGCTGTAATGATACACTCTGAGCCTCTTGCAGTAATTGGAGTATGTGTTATATTAGTAAATGAAGAACAACAGAAAATACTCTTGATTCTTGTTGTAGCTGTAAAACAAGTACTCTTTGCTCGTAAGTTTATAAACACTCTAGACAATAGTAAGTTTTGAATTTTAGATGCATCTTAATCATCTTGGGAAGATTATGAAATAAGTACTTTATCTGTCCTGCACAGAAAGACAGCTGCACTTTGAGAGCATTTCAGGTTCTAAGCAATCTGTCTCTTTCAAAGCTTCTCTAACACGACGTATACTTGAATTCAAGAAGTACAATTACGAACTGAACTGGACAATATATTCATATGAGGATGCTTTAGAAACTAGTGAATAAGGGTGTGTCTGCAGTTACAGGACAAGATCAAAAATGGCAATGTTGTTTTGGAAAGTATACCCTTGGGTTTTATAGATAAAGGCGAAATGTTTTACTTTAACACTGAAATATATTTCATAGTTGATTAATTACTGTATTAATGTAACAAAAATCTCTCTTGTGATACTGCAATTTTAATTCTGTATTCAATATGTTGCATACAAAATTTTTTTTTCTGTTTTGCAATGGCAGATTTAAGTTATTCTTCAGGTTAGTATTTGATTAGTGATACCCTACAAAAAGAACTATGTAATCAGTGATTTCTGAGGAGAATTACTATAACATAATACTGTTTATAAGGTTTTTAGACATTCTTTTTCTAACCTCTAAAAATTTGCTGTATTAAAATAGGTTTCCTCCATTTTTTGATGACAATCCATTTGGTATATATCAGAAGATTCTTGCTGGCAAAATAGATTTCCCGAGGCATTTGGATTTATATGTAAAGTAAGTCCATGACTCCCAACACTCTTGTATTCTAAGCATCTCCTTAGTACTGTTTCTAAAGGATCTTTGTAGAAGATTTTGTAAAACACCAAAATATTTTAGGTTACATTTACTCTTGCGGTCCAAGTAAAACTGTGTCTTTGGTAGGTTTCAAGCTGGAGATATGGTTCTAAGATAGTTATCTGCGCTTCTTACTTTTGTGCATATTTTAGAATATTAAATGCTGTTCCACCTTTTGCAGAGTGTATTGGTTCCAGGTTAGTGCCTGGCAGAAAGAAAAAAGGAGAAATATTGGGAAATAGATCATTTAATATGAGTAAAAATTAGGAGAGCAGAAAGCAAACACTAAACGGTTCCTTTGTATGCATATGCACCAGTTAAATCACTCTCAACATAACTACTTGAATAAACTCTTGATACTTCAGAATTTCTAGTGTAAAATCGACTTCCACTTCTGATTGCAGGGCCCCAGTTCAGTGTGCAGTATTAAATATGCATATGTGCATTTTATTTACAGTATTTTGCAATTGTTATGGGTCTTTTGCAGATGAAATGCTTTTTTCCCCTATTTAAAAAAATCAAGAATTGAAATAATTTTTAGTAAACATTAGAACAGTGGAAGTGCAATTTTAAACATGAGTTTCTCCTCAGAAGCAGAGATGATTGAGTGAGTGAAAACAGGAAATTATTCTTACATTCCCAGATTAATCATTGAAGGTGTTTTGATGAAGTGACCTTAGAGATGGCACTTACTTACTGTCATGACAAGGTAAATAATAGATAAAATGTTGTACAGCAAATCTAATGAGATCTGTCCAACTTACCCTGACCTTTTATGAATTCTTGTGCAAAAATAATCACTTGGAGAGGATTTTTTAAGCCTCCACTGAATCATGAAGTTCATCAAATCAAGCATGTCTACATCACCATGTGCCGATTAGTGTTTCATATTTGTGTCTGTTCTTAACAGAGTTTTCCCCTTACAATCTTGAGACTGTTTCCAATTTAGTGTAGTCTCATTGTCTGATCTTTGTAACCCAGTCTGTCTTGGGAAGAAAACATTGTATCACGTAATACTGTTTGCAGTAAAGTATAAAAGTGTGACCAGAAGATGAACAGTTCAGATTACGTTATTATCATTAGAAACCTGTCTAACATGGAGAAAGCATTTAAAAGTAGAGAAGCTGTTAGCTTCTGTTTGTGCTCAGCATTCACAGACCAACACTGATTTCTACTATGCAGAGGACACCTGGTGCTGTGAAGTGTCCTAATTATGGTAGTAAACATGCATATGTAGGTTTTGCTCTTCAGTCTAGACATGACTGCCAGTGAATTGTGGGATACATTAATCAACATAGTTGTTGACAAACCTCTTTCCCAGCTTTTCTTACTCAGTTTTTCTTTCAGTGTGTTCTTGGCAGCTCATTCCCACTATACTCCTGCCTTTAAGGAGTCTCATGGGATTCTAGCTTTGGCTTTCCTCCTTTCATACTTTGGTTTTGGGTGATCTCATTAATTTGCATTGTTTCACCTGCTTTCTGCAGTGAGTTGTTAGCATTATGTATATCTCTTGTTACGTCAACCCTTCTTTTTAAATCACAGTATGCAGAACTGGATAGTCTTGACATCTCTGCACCGCTAGCTTAAAGCAAATGCCAACGTTATTTTGTCCTAAGAACACAGTCTACTTCTTATCTTGTTTGTTTGCTGTTTGCTTTCTCTCTGTTCTTCCTACCAGTTGGTATCTCAGCATGGATGAAGACTATCTTTGGTCCTGTCCCATCCAGGCTATGTCTGAAGTATTAGTACTGTACAGTGTTTATAGTAATTGTACTTTACCTCTGATCTTGCACAGCAAAAGTATATTCCTTTTTGGACTCTGAGAAAACTTTTCTACCTAGATGTACTTACATAAACTTGATGTTTTTCTAGCTGACTGTCCCCATCCCCTTCCCACACTTTCAACCTTTTGCTTTTCCTCCTGCTGCATGCTGCTATGTGTCTTGTGTAAGTGCTGTTCCTTCTGGACTGAGCTAACATCACACTTTTTCCTACTGTGTCCCCTTTTTTTAGCTGCCTTGCAATATGATCAGGTGTTTTCTCTAAGGCCTTTGTCCTATATACATGAAGTCCTTGACACATTTGACCATTAGTTCAGGTCTCTTCTGAAAAGCAGCTTTTGCCATAATGATGATAATAAATTAATAGAAATTAAAAAATTATCAGCAGTTTTGTGTTACTTCATTTCTGATAAAACATAAGTATTAATTATGCTCCACCTACTTCTTTGGCTGCTCATGAGTTTATAAGCTTTTTTTGTTATAATATTTTTTTTTTTTTGCTTTTTGTAAGCTTCTCTTTGCGAAGACAGTTTTAGAAAATACCAAATCAAACATGAGTGCTACAGCAGTTTAATGGTAATTGGTCTAGAAAGACCTTAATGTAGAATTTCAGGCCCCAAATACATACAGCAACATATCTATTGGATAGACTTTTAACATGATTATTTCTAAATTATTCTTTAGAAACTATATAATAAAGAATCACTAAACTATCTGTTATTGTTTTAATTTAATGGATATTTGTTCTTTTGAATGCGGCAAATGTCTTTGTATTTAGTGACAATACAGTATCAATGAGCAAGGTCATCCCTTAATTGTTGTTTTCTAAGATAAAATTTTGAAGGGAGCCAAGAGTGAGTGATCCATTGTATGTTTTCTGGTTATGTAGGAACAGGAAACTCCATGATTTACCTTTGGCCATATAGCCTGTGAATCTAGTTCTGAGTTTCTGGATTTCTTTTTATTCCTGCATCTGTTTTAAAGTCTGCTTATAGCCATTCTTGTACCCTTCTCCATAAGGAATAGTCTTCTCTGCAAAGACTGAAAAGAGGTATTTCTGTGAAGGTGACTGTAAAAGGAGTCAGTCACATGATTTAATCTAATCCAAATATTGATTGGCTGGAATGATCATGAGAGTTTTAAAAATTGCTTTCTACCTAAAGTTTTTTATTCTCCTTAGATCTGCCAAATGGGTATTTTTCCATTTGAGTTTTAGAACTATATTCCTGCCAAATACAACAGCTTTTCAAACAGTCTAGCACATTCATTCTCAGTTCATACATTCTTCGTGCATACACTTTTGTGATTTCAAGGTTAGGTGACAGAATACTGGGGTTTTTTTCTGTGTTAGGCGTTACAGTTAGAGAGATGAAGGTGTGTCATTAATATGTTTACATTCTTTTTTGCAAGTAAAGCTGATGGGTTTTTTTTAAACCTTCTGCAAATTAAAAATTGCAATTAGCTGTGCTTTGTAGATCATCAGCATTTCTTGCAGCATTGCATCTCTCAGGTGTATTTGAGGCTCTAGAAAGAAGAAAGATGACTAAACTTTTGTTCTTTTCTGTCATTGGTACTTTATGCAATGAGGCCAGAATGCTGTTATTCTAAAAGTGAGTAGCAAAGTAACCTCAGATAAAAAGTAACTGCTTATAGAAATGTGAAGCAAGATTTTTCTTTCAACTAGCTGTGTGATACTCACTCTGATTAATGTTGGCATTTTTTGGTGCTTAATATTTAAAGTTCTTTGCTACTAAAATTGAATTGAAATCCTTTATGTCTCTAAACTTACATTCATCTTTTAAAAAGTTGTTTTAGCTTTATGTAGAACTGTTCAATAAACTAGAATTTCAGGGGAGCCTTTTTATTTTCAATTAAGTTAAAGCTTAGAGATGTTACTAGTTTTAAACAGATGACTGGCTCTTCCATGGTTTCTCTGAATATTTAGCAGCCACAGAATTTTATATATATATAAAGAGTTGTGTTCTGCCAGATAGACTTGAGATAAATTTTGAGATTTGGAATGCCTCGCAAACCACAAAAATAGAAAGTAAGATATGGTGCTATTTGAGGGGGGAGAGTGGAGAGAGCGAGTGTTATTTCTCTTTTGTTTCTTGAATGAGTTTAAAAGGAACTTGCAAAAATTCTGCAAGATCCTTTTAGAACAGGTTATCCTTTTTTATTCTTGATTCTTAAATGTCTAAAAATTTACCCATTCATATGGGTAAATTATACACCGTATTAGCTAGTCAAAGGGAAGTATGCTCATATTCTGTAACATTTGTATGACAGTCAAATATCAATTGCCTTTGTTTAACAGAGAACATGTTTTCTTTATTGCAGAGACCTTATTAAGAAGCTGCTTGTAGTTGACAGGACAAGACGATTAGGAAATATGAAGGTCAGTATAAAATGTTAGGTCTAACACAGAACATAGCACAAGGCTGAAAGAGTTCTGTTGGAAAGATTTAGAACAGCTCTTCTATGGCTTTTTATAATCATGAAATTGAGATATATTTTCCCATACATTACTTTGGTTGTGTGATCCTAAATGGCGAGTTTAACTGTGTATCCTTTACGATCATTTCCCTCCCTCCTCACTCCCACCCACACACTAAAAAAAAAAAAGGACAAAAAGACAAGAAAAGAAACCCTGCCTGTTTACTGATTAATTTGAATACTTCGTGCTAAGTCCTGTAGCACAGGGTGGCAGCTTATTTGATTCTTTGGAGCTGTTTAATCCCAGAAGAAGCACTAATCAAATTTGAAGCTTAAAAATTATTTTAAGATATATAAGCATTGTTGTACCATGATGTTTGGTCATTGTCCTGGTAGTTTGGTGGGGCTGATTAAGCACAGTCAAATAGTCTTGCACCAAGAAGAATCCTATTCTGAGTAGACTTCTGAATGCAATAGTTTACTAGTCCAAAATATGCTTGCATCTCAGGTAGCATTCCAGCCTACCCCAGAAATACAACTGTGTCTGTGATATGTCAAGGTGGAACGCAAAGCAATCTGGTAAATTCTGTGAGATGTCCTGATCTTGTACTACTTGTAAGGCACAGAAGATGACAATTGTGTTACAAGCTTAGTTGTTTTCGCAGCTGTGCAGTAACTATGATTGGTAGTGCAGTGAAAAGTTATTGCATGTAAACTAACTCAGGTGCTTTAAAAGGCTAGCCAAACCACACATTAATCCTTTATTCATTGACTTGTTACCTTTGTTAGAGTGTTGCAGATGCCTAAATTAACCTGTGTAATATTTTAGTTCTTTAGAGACAGCTAAAACTTGCGTTTGCAGGGACAGGAGATTACAGCTTTGCTTTTTTGCACAAAGCACAAATGCATAAGTATAGATGCTAGAACCTGCTGACCAAAGGTCCTTTTCAGAGCTTTTTTTGGCACAAACTTAAACTGGTAAGAAAAGCTAGGAAATAAATGGGTTTTTTTATCCTTCAGAATCCTTTGCAGTGTTTTTTGGGGATCAACAGGGGGATTAAACCCGAACTTTCATAAGCTAAAAATTTAGAAAGATATCAGCCAGTTAAAATTTTTATATCTTTTGACAATTTTGAAGAAAAACAAAAGCAAACTTGGTTTATTCAAGCACAGATTTGGGGAAATGTATTTTGCTGGGGGTTTTTTGTCGTCTTTTTTTGTTGTTGTTTTGGTTGATTGGGGTTTTGGGGAGGGGGTTGTTTTGTTTTTTAAGTCTGTGATTTTTCATTTGAATCAAAAATACTTCTAAGTAGAAGTGGAATTTGAGGTGGGCGTGGTAGGTCAGTCTTGAGTCTGATCCTTTTCCTTAATTACAGTTGGTTTAAAAAGTGTTAAATCCCATTGGGCATTTTCTCGTGAAGCATTCAATGAGATCTGCTTTTGAGGGAACTAGGTGATAAATTACGCTCTCCTTTTTGCCCCTTTGGATGTGCGCATGGATAGTCCCACTCCATATAAATGTGAAAAAAACTCAAAGGTATGGTATGCTTCATTTCATGGAGCTGCATGTAGTATGAGCTTTGAGTGTGCATTAAAATTGTGCTGTGATCAGGCTCGAGACAGGGAACCATCCGGTTTTCTCCAGTGCGTAATGCCTTGAAAATGGGCCTGTGCTAGAATCAAGCTTCATTCTGGGGAGGGTACAAAAAAACCAAAAACCACTCAAAAAAATCCCCCCAAACCCGTAAAAACAAAAAAAAACACCCCCAAACGAAACCCAAACACACCAAACAAACAAAACAAAGAAATTTTTGTTCTTTATGTGCATAATCAAAACAGTCATCACAGCGAGAATAATTACAAGACAAATACACCTTTAACCATGTATCTAAAATGAAAACAAATGTTTTTATATATATACTTTTGTAACAGTACTGAAAACCTCGTTGTCAGCACTAAATGGTTGCAGTATTTGATACAACTGTGTGCTTGCCAGATGTGATTTTTATTTAAGACACCATCAACCTCATTTATTTTTCTTTTAATTAGTGTAAGAATTAGAAGCATTCTGTAAAATGTTGGAGATAATGGAAGTGGATAGGACTGCAGTGAATGGTTTTGCGAGAGAGAGAAATTTGGATCTTTTTGCTGGAACTAGGGGCCTGCTAGGGAAATATAAATTTACCCTGTATAATCTTTTAATGATTATTACTAAGGAAAGAAAAAATGGCTATACAGGCCAGTAGTCTACTTTGATACCACAGTTCTTATGGTGAAATACATGGTTTGGCATATATATAACTTATTCAATATTTATTTTGATTTTTTTCATTAAAGAATGGAGCAGATGATGTGAAGAGACATCGATGGTTCAGGTCTATAGATTGGGATGCTGTACCTCAAAGGAGACTAAAGGTATATTCTGCAAAATACTGTATAGGATATTGCGACCAGAAGTCATAGTTCATTTAAGGTGATCTGTTAAGGTTTTTGTTTCCTGTTGCATCTGTGTGTTCAGATGTGTCTATGGGCATGTGTGTATATGCATTTTTTTTCCCTTTTACACTGCAGAATTAATTATTGGATTGTCCGCTTGCATTTTTGTCTGTATACAAAATGTCTAAAAAAACTCCCTGCATTGTTTTGCTGAAGCTTAGTTAATACAACATTTAAGAATTCTAGAATTTTGCAAGTTATTTGTTATACGTGATTGTTTGGTGTGAGAGGGTTGGTAGTTTGTTGGTTTCATTTTTGTTTTGGTTCGGCTTTTTCCTTGCACTTGTATCTGTGCAAGTATTTTACTCTGGTCTTTGCATTTTCGTGCCAAGTTCAATCCAGGTAAGTGCTTTAGTAAAATGTAAAGCATATGCAAGTAGGAGGAATAGGGAAGGTGAGAGAGAAGGATTTATGAATGTGATTCTTACATACTTTATAACAGCACTGAATTCTAGTATTATATGAGGGCATATGTTTGCAAAAGCTATCAACACTGTAAAATGCTTTTTAAAGTTTTAAAACTGCTTTCTTTCTTTCCTTCCTTCCTCAAAGTTATAATACATCTTCTTACTAGTGATTTTCAGTAGCATAGGTTGTTATACACAGTCAATCAAATATGAATTAAATGTTTGGTTCTCCTTTTCTCTGTTTTAGTTTCTTACAATGAATTTCTGGCTAGGTGTCATAAATTGAGTTCATGCAACACAGATAAGAGATGAAGTAGTTCTTGATGCGTTCTTGTAGAAAACATCCCAATACAAAATTGTAGGTGACTTTTTTTCTTAAATCCACATTTTCTTTAAATGTGTGGATTTTATTTTATTTTTGATTACTAGTTTTATGTAGATCTTTTAATGAAATCCCATTTTTTCAAATTATTTACTGTAAATTCTGGTTACATGAATCCGCAAAGAACACAAACTGGATGATAACATGTTTTATAAGTATTTAAACTCTGAAGTTTATGACAACCTACTGTATTACCAAATAAATAACAAACACATAATATTAAACACTGAATGTCAGAGGTCCAAATCGAGAGTCTCAGATCAAAACATCCTGTGTGTTGCATTTTCATATTTAAGAAAAACAAAAAAAAGTCACCGTGGCATTTAGATTATGAATTCAAAACTTGTTTCTTAATCTTTGTGATGGTTACGTTAAGTTCTTAAAAGATGAGATGCTGCTTAATTATACGTCAGAGTGAGAATGTTGAGTCAGAAGTTTACTTCGTTATTTCTAGAGGCAGCTATATTCTTCAGAATTAGTTTTCACAATCTCACTGTATTTTATATTGAAGAAGAGACTAAAGATATGAAATAATGGATACAGTGCTCCATTCCAAGCATGAATTGGCCTACTGTATAAATGAAGTATTGATTCATGGTCCTGATAAGATCTTAAATATTAGTATTATATAAATGATACTATTGGCCAAAAGAGAGAAAATGCTTTTCTTAATCTAAAATATAGGATTTCCCTTTGTCTCTCTCTTTTATTTTTTTTTTTTGGGGGGTGGGTTGCGCGTGGGCATGGTGAGGGTGGTGTTTACTGCCCAAATACTTACAGGGAGGTGGGGGTACCAGGCATTGCCCACAGTGGAGCTGACTTAGATGCTGCACATTTTCTTAAGCATCTTCTAAAACATCACAGTATATTGTGACTGCCACATGTAGAAGCAGGACTTCGCTTTTGGCTGAAGCTTAAAAGTACCATCTTTCAGGGACTCTTTCTTTCCCACTGAAAACCTGCTGATGGCATTGTTTAAAACTGAGAAGCCCGAAAGATCAGATAAGATCTCAGAGCAAGCAGAAGCCAGACTCATCTTTTGAGAAGATGCAGAATAATGTTTTGCTGTACTCGGTAGTTCTGTCTGTGGTATGACTTTTATTAGCCAGTTTTGTTATTGGCCTTAAGGTTTTCTTAGCCACAAGTCTTCTGTTGGACTCATGACAATAGTTAAGCTCTCTGTTACTGAGAAGGGGATAGAGAGATCAAGGTGCCTTGAGAAAAGAAGAGATTGTCCTACATTAACCTCTACTTCAGAAAGGAGCTTTAACTCATTGCCTGTGGCTGGAGAGGCAGAGTAATCTTGATGCTAGATACAAGACAAGGAAAAAAACACAGGTACTGTGAAGCTGGTGGGCAGTGCTAGAAATCCAAAGGATCCTCTGAGAAAAGAAGTAGAAAACAAACGTTTCTCTTGTCACCTCCAAGTTTCTGTAAAAAGCTCCATTTGAATTAAGATGCTTTTACAGCCATCCTTGTGAAGTGAGTTTTTACAGTGCAGCAATTTCTTTATGTGCTTGAATTTATTGCTAGACTAGGAAAGCATAGTAGGTAGTGTGAGGCATACAGAAATCAGTCATTTACACCACTTTAAAAGCAATCAATCAATTTGAAAGTCATGAAAATGAAGCTTTTTTCCTGCAATTAGAAAGCAGTTACCCACACAGTTATCAAGACTCTTTCTTTCTTAGCTGAAAGCAACCTGATGTGATTACACGCCTTTTTGCTTCTAGGCTACAGAAGAGGGGAGGAGTGAGGAAGGAGAGTGGCAGATTTTGCTGTGGAGAAGTGGCACTTGCATGGAAACTTAGTTGTACTAAACTTTTGCAGTAGTCGCGTTCAGTCTGCAAAGCAGGTAGAACTTGATTGCTAAATAAAATAGGTAACTATATTATAAGTTTCTTTTAGCCACAATATAGACCAAGCATTGGAACATGTCTCTCTTGCTGCAAGCTTCCCTCTCATGCCATTCATTATTAGTGATAAAGGTGAACTTCTATAAATATGTTTATCAGTCTTTTACAGAATTTCTGCTTTAATATGATGGAGAGGAGCTCACTGAAAAAACTTGAGGAAACTACTAACATTTTTGTTGTGCTTGTTCTGACTAGCCTCCCATCGTACCGAAAGTATCCAATGATGGGGATACTTCCAATTTTGAAGCTTACCCTGAAGATGACTGGAACAAGACACCTCCGGTACCTCCTAAAGATCTAGAAATATTCAAGAACTTCTGAATGTGACATCTACACTGGATGAGGTATGTCCAAGTATTGGGAGTCCTCTCAAAACACTGAAGGTCTGTGAGTGAGAGCTGTATGCAGAAATTACATCATTTGCTTCATAACAGTGATTAATACTTCCTTACAGCTTGTAAAACCAACATGAATCACAGTAATACTGTTGAAATAAAATACTGTTAAGCAGGCTTATGGAATGGCAAAGGTAATTTATCTCACAGGCTTTGGTGTTCTTTGATGAAGAGTTTTTTTTGTGTACAGATATTTAAGTCCTTCTGTCCTTAAAACTTAAAATAGTGTTAAAAGCAAATATCTAGATTGATTTGACAGATAAGGAAATGTGATTGGTTTTGATTGCAAGATTTTCATGTATAGAGTGAAGACTCCAGTTAGAGAAATAAGATTGTCAGATTAATTCTGTACACTGAGTTCAGTCTTATAACTGTGCTAGGTTGATATTTGTCATTCAGTTCACATGCTTCTCTTTGTATTTTTGTGTTTCTTTTTCATTATATTTTGTCTTAGAAACTGGAAGGAAGTTGAAGTGCTAACAGCAAGTCTGAAGAAAAATGGAGTACATATGTAAATGAAGAATTTCTTTATGGATAAGAATGATACTGCATTCATATATGCATACTAGTGTATAGTAAATACCTAAAGAGTTGGAGGCAGGCAAGAATAATTTTTTGCTGTAAACATTTGACATTAGTAAATTGTAATATTGATAGTCTACTCTGAAGTAGACTCACTAAAATGGTATATTTTAGGATATTTTTTTTTTTAACTTATGGTTTGATTAAGTTTCCTGCTATTCTCAAATCCTTTTTGCATAGTTAACTCATAGACTTAATTTTATAAGTTTGTACTAAACTTGTGTAATTAGAAGCACAAATTAGTATATATGTATATAATGAATACAGTACAACTAAAGCACAGGAACTGTGCAAAGATGTAAATTTTTGTACTTTGCAGAGTCTATGATTTTTATTTTTCAAATAATGTTTTTCAAGAAGTTCTCTAGGAATAAAAATCTTAAAAGGATAAATGAGTTTTTCATCATCTTATATACATTTTATAATTCTTTGTAAAAAATAAAAATAATTAAGTTTTAAAAAATATTTGTACCTAAAATTTCCAATGCCTCACAATTGCAACCATAGTACTTGAAAGCAGAAAGACAAGGGCGTGTTTTATTGCTGTTAAGATGCATCTTAATGGCTGATTTATAAAGTTCTGTTACAGTGATGTCTCTTTGCAAACCAGGATATTGAGTGATTATATATTGTCTGAAATGAGATTCCTCACATGAAGACTCTGTAAACATGCAATTCAGTTGCATACTGATAAAAGGGCTCTAACTGGCTCTTACCAGAGTTGTTGTCTCTCAAGCCTGCTGTCTTCTCCAAATGTAAAGTATGAGCCATAACAGACTTTCTCCATTATTGAAATAGATGTTGTTGAGTGCTTGGCACTTCAGAATACCAGAGGGAAGACTGAAAATATTAGAACCTGATTCTTCTGCTCCTGCTTTTGGAAATGTCCTAAAATCTCTGCTGCCAGGAATTCCTTATGTACAGAGTTCCAACCTTAGATGTAAGGAGTCTTCTGTTTTCACCCTTCACCCTTCACTAACGTCCTTCTAGCAGCTTGAGTACACTGTATTTAGGAAGTATTTGCAATACTGCTTCATTTTAAGTAGCACCAAATATCAGTATGTGCATATATATGTATGTATATGAATACACATAAATATGAAGGTAGATTGTGTAAAAGTCAGGATCTTTTTTAAGGGTTTTTTTATGTTACATATTGCGATACTTGTGTTAATATAGGATAATTGGTTTTGAAGTGCTTCAATTTCAAAAAAGTAATGACATTCTCTCAGATATGGGTTTTGATAACTTTTAGTGAAATTACGATATTTAGACCTTTTTTTTTTTTTTGTCCCAAAGCCTGTCAGCTCACTGAAGCTCTACTACGATAGCTCTACGTAAAACTGTCTACTAAGTAGACCATACAGACCGTTTCTCCTACAAGGTGCTCCCCACACTTCTGATCTGAAATGCTACAAGAAATGTCAGCCAAAAATTAATTTTTCTGAACTAAATCCTGAGTGCTTATGAAGTAGAGATTCTATTAATCTCTAATGAAATTGACATGTTTATAATATTATGACAAATTGGCATCTGGAATGCAGAATAGCGACTTCCATTTTCTTCTGTGTAGCTCTAAAGAGTACAGAAGTGCTGTTGTGATCTTGCAATTTCTAGGGTACTAGATCTATTTCTTCATAAAGCAAGTCCTACCTTGAAGAGATTGCATAACTCTGCAAAAATGCACTATGTGTGGCAAAATCAGGATACTTGATAGTGGTAATTCTGGAACATCACAAAGTCATCTTGATGTTATGCAAATGCCACAAATTGATGACCCCAGCTGCAACTCAGTAAAATCTGTGTAGGAATGTATAATGAAATACAGGAAAATCCATAGAAAATGATCATTTTAACCTGGTAAAAATATCTTACTCTCTTGAAAAAAATGAATTTGGTCCACTCTTTTTGTATCTGTGGAATTAGTTTCTCCGTATCAATCAGAAAAACTGAAGCACGTAAAATATAACTTACTTTGTCTAATGGGAGCAAGTACAGTTCAGCTCTTTTTTTATGTGTGAGCTTAAACTATTTTATGGATTCTGAGTACTACAAAACCAGTTTCTTATTAAAAAATGTGCATACTGCAACAAGCAAGTGTGCTAAATATTTTTTTTCCCCAAGTTTAAAAACCATGCTGTGTTTAAGTCTTCAAAGCTGAGGAAATAAAGTTGCATTTAACTCATGTGCTACATGAGTGGTTAGAAGTTTTGAATGCTTGAACAACAGGAGATAGTGGATTTTTTTTTAATGAGTCTTATCCACTGCTGGCAGTGGATGCACTGACACTCATTATGACAGAGACTAAAGGAACAAATACAATCTTATTAATAATGCTAATCCTCCGACTTTACATTGTTTCCAGAGCCATGTGTACATATGCCTAACTACTGACCTCGTCAACATGCTTTCTAGTACAAAACTGCTTTCAATTTTTTTTATCCTTACCTACAAAAAATAAGCAACCCAAAACATTCTTGAAGCATTATTTTAAGTGATCAGTTATTTTCTCTACAGTCTTAAACTTAAATGAGTTACCTGCCCATTTTATTTATTTGCACAAGTGAGTCTGTTTTATTTTAAGTCTTTGCTGGGACTTCACGGCCTACTAACGTAGTTCTGTCTGAGCACTCACACAGGTGTCCCCAGATAGATACTGCACTAAGGTCTCTGGATTTATGGTTTGGTTTGTTGTTTGTTTGGTTTTTTAACAGACTAGAACACTTTTTCATTTTCTGTTCAAATATGGTATTCTCTAAAGTATGGTTTTCTCAAATATGGTATTCTGGTTGCATCTGTTAATGTGTTTTTGCATATAGACTGTTGCATAAGGACTGTTTTCTTGCAAGAGCCCATAGGCCTTTGGTATTCTGCTTTGGTGAACAAGAATGTTAAACATTAAAAACAACCTTTATTTTTGAGTTTTTTATATATATATATTTTTAATTACCCAGTTTAAGGTTTTAAGTGGTAAACATGCATTATAAATCCAATTGCCTTGTAACCAAATGATATAAATGCTTCATGATTTCAATGGAGAACATGCTGTAGATTTTTCTGTAAATGAGCTTGATCAACAAATACGTGTGCTACTGAGCTTTAACTAATGTGATCTTCCACTATAGAAAGTCATTGTTAATGGATCAAATATAGGTACTAAAGTATGTTTAAATGGATGAACAGGGATTTTGCAGTTTTGAAAGCAATTAAGATATGGCTGTTCTGCAGCCCATCTGCTTGCCATTCAGAAGAGTTGTGTTGCAGTGCTTCCTATGCTATAGAATTATTTTTCAGCTTTCAATGACTGTAGCATGATTCCTTTTTGTACTGTACTGTGTACAGACTTCCCATGTTTTGCACTTTTCTATGGCAAACCTTGACTGCTTTATAAATACTATGTTGCGTAGTAAGTAGTGATAGTGGTAGCAGGCATCTGTGTACCGCATAATCAGTTTCAACTGCTAGACTTGCGAGGTTACTTTGGACTAACATTGTATGTTGCTGGTTGCTTGTTGTAGCTCACATGTATAAGTACTGTTCAAAGTTACAAAGTCAGCCCTCATTGCACAATGAAAATCACTGTGATCTGTACATAAACCCTAGTAAAATTTTATTGCTGCTTAATTTATGTAATATCTGTCAAATCTGGATTCATTTAATAAACCTTTATATCTTTTTAAATGTTTAAACTGAGTTTGTTTCCGTTTGTGTTGGGAGGAGGTAGAGGTTCTTCATCCAAAAAAATGATGGAGGAGAGGAGTGGAAAAACAACTGTTCCTTCTTTTCAGGAGTTAAGTCTTTCCAGAGCAAGACACAAGTGGTAGAACATATTTCAGTTGGCATGGAAGAAGCATCAAAAAGTGTATTTTTAAATTCATTTCAGTGCACCAATAATGAAAAGTGTTAACTCAGACTTCTCATTAGAATTTGATTGTATGACCCTAATTGCTTTGACATTTTCACAACTTAATGACCTGAACACTGTCTGGAACACTCATTTCAGTCTGTTTCTTTAAGCATCAAAAATATCCTTATGTTTGGAATAGGTAAGGTTTTGGGGGGGTTTAGCACAGAACTTTGTGCTTGCTTCCTGCCTGGCTTAATTCTAGATTTTGTGCATTGATGTTTTTCTCCTGTAAACTACTATGTTGTGTGCTAATGGAAAGTGAGGGAACACTGCGGTGAGCCCTAGCAAGCTTTTAGTCATGTCTTTGACATGGATCAAAAGAACTGCTCAGTTAAAACATACCAAATTCTTGAATGTTAGCAAGTATCCAGGATGTTTGTCAAGAATTTGTTTTGGCATCTTGTTCTTACCTCAGCCTTTGCCATATGGTAGAGGTTTTGTTCACTTATTCTAACCTGAGTGCTATATCTTTTTTGACTGTACATACAACTCCAGATCTTATCCAGCAAAGACATATTTTAAATATGCTTTTTCACTCATGCAGGGCAGGTAAGTTTTGCTGCTGTACAACTTAGTCTGGATCACACTTACTTTTAGCATTACTCAGTACTCCCAAATCCGTCTCACTTCCATGGTTCATTAGCCCTAGCACTATTTAAACAGCATTTGACAAGAACCCACCTGTTAACCAGTAACAGTATGATATTATAAGAAATGGTTGAAAGCGACTGGCACTGTTGCAACTCTGGATCTTGACCAGTGCTCTCTGAAATGGTATATAATTCACATACTGAGTATTTCCTTGTGCAGACTCCTGCTAGGTGCTACAATCTCAGCTTCAGCATTTACACAGCTTTCGCAGGGGGAAAATAAAAGGCTTTTCTACTGCCCTCAGCAGAAAAGTATAGCTTTTCTTTCTTCCACTCCCTCCTTCCATGTCCTATTAAAAAATAAAATAAAATGCCATACATGCATGTATGTCAAACTTCATATTTATCCTTGATACCAGCTGAATTGTAAGAATTTCTTTAAATGTATCCAGATATTTTTCTAGTCTTGTGCAGGAATATTCCAAACCGTGAAAACAGAAAATTTCAGCAGTAAGTAGAGCTATTATTATACCAGCTTGGATTTATGTGACAGTTATATCTGATTTGCTGCATTTGTTTAAGTGCCAATAAGAATGAGTTGTTGGGCAGCTGAGAGCCAAGCACCTCTTTCTGCATCTATATTTTTGGACACAGGCCACTGAAGTTTCTAAGGGAAATCTTAAAACTGATAATGTAACCTGAAGCACCACAAATGCAGGCCTATCTTACCTCTAGAATGTGAAACTCTTTAAGGTGCTGTGCAGGTGCTGTCTCCACTGCACCAATTTTTACTTAGTTTATCAGAGTAAGTCATA